CCGCAGGCCTCCCCAAGCCCATGGCTTACCTCCACCCTCTGCACACACTCGAGTTGCCTGCCTGGCCCCGAGGCACTGAGGCTGTGCTGCCTGTACTTGATGAGTGATCCTACCGGATTTCTCCAACACTGACGCTTGTCCTGTGTGGCCAGTCTGCCTGCAAGGTATGGCAGCTTCCACCAGCCTTGCACCCTGGCTGGTCAGTCCTGCTCCCCCGAGTCCCAAAGATGCGTTGCCTGGTGTTTGTTTAGAAGGGTCAGATGGGCAATGGGGAAAGTGAGGTGTGGGCTCAGGAAGGGGGACCACAGGAAGGGGCCTTCCCAAGCAGTCAAGTCCTCAAACCCGGACAAATCACATCTCAGGGAATGAGGAAAGTCATGCGTTTGTAAAGCCACTAAAGGTAGTCCTTCAGGAATAACAGGCCCCGGAAGAGGGGTCAGAAGAGTGGATTGTGGAAGTTTGAGGTTGCAGTGAGCTATGATGACACCAATGCACTCTAGCCTGGGTGACAGAGCAAGACCCTGTCTCAAAAAAAAAAGACTGGATTGTGAATGGGCCAGTTTTCAACATGGGGGAAAACACTAGACCATTGTTTAGACCCCATGTTTTCTCAAAGAGGTTGTCTAAAAGTGATTTGGGGCAAATGACAAAGAATACGTGGCTGAAATGAAGTAGCATCAATTCCCTAAGAACAAGTTATGACAACTTATCCCCCTTTCATTCTTTGCTCAAGTCCCAAGGTTAGTAGATTAGGATTCGGTAAGCACAGTAAATCTAATTTTTAGCTGGGCATTGGTTATTGTCTCTCATGACTGTCTTGCAGCTAAAAGGATAAAATGTGAGTTAGGGCTATGTTTCCCAAACCACTGATAAAACTCTCATTAGAAGTTTGAGACCAGCCTGAGCAAAATAGTGAGACCCTGTCTCTGCAAAACAAATAAAAAAATTAGTTGGGTGTGGTGGTGCACTTGTAGTCCTACGTACTCAGGAGGCTGAGGCAGGAGGATCACTTGAGCCCAGGAATTTGAGGTTGCAGTGAGTTATAATGACACCACTGCACTTTAGCCTAGGTGACAGAGCGAGACCCTGTCTCAAAAAAAAAAATGAAAACAAAAATACCCTAGAAAACACCTCACTAGAATGCAACAAAATGTTACGTGCCTGTGTCACCAACTCACACACATGTACACACACCTGGGTTCTTCTTTCTGAAAATTCATTATTCAAGCCCCATAATGACAAAGTTGTAGATTCAAACTCATCATAAAAGCAAATAGGCTGGGCACAGTGGCTCACACCTGTAATCCTAGCTCTCTGGGAGGCCGAGGCGGGCAGATCGTTTGAGCTAAGGAGTTTGAAACCAACCCAAGCAAGAGCGAGACCCCATCTCTACTATAAATAGAAAGAAATTAATTGGTCAACTAATATATATAGAAAAAAGTAGCCAGACATGGTGGCACATGCCTATAGTCCCAGCTACTTGGGAGGCTAAGGCAGGAGGATTGCTTGAGCCCAGGAGTTTGAGGTTGCTGTGAGCTAGTCTGACAACACGGCACTTACTCTAGTCTGGGCAACAAAGTGAGACTCTGTCTCAGAAAATAAATAAATAAATAAAATAATTTAAATAAAGCAAATAATACCAAGTATTCTTTCAAAAGGGGTTCCTCAGGAAGCAGTGAGCTTAAGGACAGGTTGGCAGCCTTGGGTGGGGAGTGGCTCAGATGCTGGCCCCTGGCCCTCTTTGTCCCAGTCACCCTCTCCCTCTGATACCCATTCCCCGCCCTAGAGCAGTACCCTGGGCAGCCCTCCCAGCCCCCTGTTCCTGCCACAGTGACCTTGGCTCAGAAACCTTTTCCCACCACTGCCCACCCTAAGTGTCTCCTCTCATCTCATGGCTGTGCCTTCATCCCCAGAAATGGTGAGTGGGGCAGCTTAGGAAGATTCAGACAGGAGGATTCAGCCAGTGGAACCTTGGGCCCAAGACCTCAGGGACCCTATCTCTTCCCCCTTCTGCACATCTGACCTACCAAAGAGCCAGTCTTCTCTTTCCTCCCACCTCAATTCCTATGGCTCTCACGTTAGAAGCTTCTAGAACCTTACCAGTTTCAAACCTTCTATCCTGCCATCACAGGAGGTGGTATAGGACCAAGCTGGCATAGGTGTTCTCCCCTTCTCTTCTCCCCCCTCCTCATCATGACATGTTGTCACCCCCTGTGCAGGCAGACAAAACTCCCCACGAGCCCCGAGAGCTCTGTCAACCACAGGCTTCCAGAGTCACCTCTGTGGTCTAACACCCTTCAGTCCAAACAACTGCTTCTCTCCAGAGCTGATCCCACAAGCCAGGGCAGTGGGTGGCCCATTTCCTGCCCCAGGGACCCATGCTGGGGTAGAGGAGAGGTGGTTTTCTTAGTGTCCCACATGGGGGAGCAGCTTCTCTCATCCTCATCCCTAAATTCTGGCTCTGGTGACATCAGCCACCATTTTATTAAGCCCTGACTCTGTGCCAGGTACTGTGCTAAGCACTAGACACAAATTGTCTTAATCTTAACAACCCTGAGAGGCAGATGTCATCATCCCATTGTACTGACGAGAAAACCGAGACTCAGAGGACCCCAGACCACCCAGCTAGTACGTGGGGGCTGGGTGTAGAAGCCAATCTGCCTAACTTGGAACAGCATGCGCCTAACTCCCTGCCCCGCCCTGCTTCCTCGCCAGGCAAGTCACCAAGGCTGAGGGTGCGGCTTTGGCAGGCAGATTCGGGTGCCTGTTTTTCGAGGTCTCTGCCTGCCTGGACTTTGAGCACGTGCAACACGTCTTCCACGAGGCGGTGCGAGAGGCCCGGCGGGAGCTGGAGAAGAGCCCCCTGGCCCGTCCCCTCTACATCTCCGAGGAGAGGGCCCTGCCCCACCAGGCCCCGCTCACTGCCCGGCACGGGCTGGCCAGCTGCACCTTCAACACCCTCTCCACGGCCAGCCTCAAGGAGATGCCCACCATCGCCCAGGCTAAGCTGGTCACGGTGAAGTCGTCCCGGGCCCAGAGCAAGCGCAAGGCACCCACCTTGACTCTACTGAAGGGCTTCAAGATCTTCTGAGGCCCTCCCCAGGAATCCCAGACTCCACGGCTGGGCAGGGCTGCAGGACAAGCATGGCTTGTCACCACCGGCCTTTCCCTCTGATGGACCAGTAGCCCTCACCCTCTGGTGGACAGCGGACCCTGCCTCCAGCACCAAGCAGTGTCCCTGCACTGAATGCACTGTGCGAGCTGGAGGGACAAGCGGGGATGCTGCTCCTACTCCCCTCAGGCCATGTTCTCCATGGTAACCACAGCATCTGTGACCCTGGAAGGAAAACAGCCACCGTGACAACCCAGAGACCTGGGGACAGCTGTAAGCAGGAAGAAATTGCAATGTCCGTCCTGCTGCCATCACCCCTTCTGCTCCAGCTACAGTTGGGCCAGCTGTGGCACTTAATGGATGGTCTGAGTGGAGAGCTGCCAGGAGTTCTGTCACTGTGGAGGCCAGAGAGCAGCCTGCGGGAGTGACAGCCCTGAGGTCCTTGCGCCACCTGGCGGACGGGAAAGGCAGGGCTGCTGCAGGTTTCCGAGGCTGGAGCCTGGCTCTCTGAGCCCCAGGCAACAAACCCCACGGTTTGCCCAAGGAAAATCTAGTTAAAATAACAGGGACAGCCTGGCAGGGCAGAGAAGTCCCAGGAAAGGGTATTTCCCTCACTGTGCCTCTCAGTGAGGGCAGAAGGCCGGGCGGAGGCTGTGAGTTGTGGCTGTCCAGCGTGAAGAGCCTGTAGAGTTCCCTCGCCAGCATACAGGGTCCTCTCGTTTTCCCACCGCTAAATTCTCTACCTAGACGCCCGGAACCAGCCTCCTCAAGTTTAACGATAAAGGCTGCAGACCAAAGTTGTCCTCTCCAGTGACAACTACCCAGGGCTCCTGGCAGTAGCAAGGCGTCCAGTGGGCACTGGCAACCCGCCCGCATGCAGGTAGGAGCGCCGTACACCTGTTTGTGGTCTGGCCTGGCAGGACCCAGTATCCCCAGCTACGGGTCTGAGTGTTCACAGCCCACTTTTGTAAGATAGAACCTAAAGCATTTTGGGCTGATAAAATTTATGCAATTTTTTGCATAAATTATTTGAAGATGTCACCACAGCTTATATCAGAACACCATGCTCAGACCCGGGATCAGAACACTGCTTTGGGGTCCCGCTGTTGGTAAGAAAGGGCTCTCAGAGGCAGGCAGTGCAATCACTTCCAACATTGTTTGCCACAGGCCAGGTGTGAAGGAAGTCCTCACAGACCCTTCCCAGGTAAGCAGGAGAGGGCTGTGGCCGGTGGGGGCTTGAGAAGGGGATTCTGAGCACAGAATCCTGTTCCTTCCCCTCTCAGCAGTCTCAGGAGCTTGGATGGAAAACAGTGTCTCTGGCTGGGCACAGTGGCTCACGTCTATAATCCCAGTGCTTTCAGAGGCCAAGGCAGGAAGATCGCTGAGACCGGGGGTTTGAGACCAGCCTGAGCAACATAGCAAGACTCCATCTCTACTGGCCCAGTGGGTGTGGTGGTGTGCACTTAGTCCCAGCTACTCAGGAGGCTGTGGCAGGAGGATCACTTGAACCCAGGAATTCAAGGTTACACTGAGTTATGATCAGGCCACTGCACTCCAGCCTGGGTAAATAGAGAGAGACCGTGTCTCTTAAAAAAAAAAGAAAAAGTAAAAGAAAACAGCATCTTTAACCCAACCTTCAGCTTCATTCTATAAATGGAGAAGCTGAGGGCAGAGGGAATCTGTGGCTACTCAAGACCACATGCTGAGAGTCCTGGCCAGGCTTCCTGACCCACAGGCTGGCTACGGGTTTTGCGCTTTTGCTCCAAGCCACTTGTGTGTGTGTGTGTGTGTGTATGTGTGTGTGTGGACCACTACCATTTGAACAAATTATATAATTCCAACAGCCCACTTCCAGGAGCATTTTAATAAAATATTTTTTTAAATAATAGAATTTTAGTTTGCTTGCAGTTTATTCTTTGTATTTGCTAATTAAAAAAAAAATGCTACTTGGGAGCTGAGCTCAAGTGACGTGCCTGGCCTGGGGTGTGCGTGCTCTGAACTCTCCCTAGCTTTCAGCTTCTGGTGAGTGTGGAAGGAGAACCAATGTGACATCGCTGTCTTTTAATTCATTTTCCACCTTAGCCACGTTTGGCTTTTCTGAGAGCGAAGTCCTGCTTAGGTTGTTTAGGCTATTGTGATCCTTGATTGCGATGTCATCCAAATACAGGACTTCTGGAGTTTCTTTTTCTGTTGGCTGCATCTTTTGATTTCTGGGAAGAGAGGGAACAGTGTTGATCAGAAAGCCTGAGTGTTTGGGGCAGGACTGGATCTCCCAGATGGCTTAGACTTGGAGGGAAAAACCCTACACGCAGTCTGGGAGCTGCTGGGGGACAAGCAGCACTGGTTGGATGTTCCTTTGGCAGAGAGACACCTTACACTTGCATGGGTGTCATCTCAGTAAGGAATCCTTACTGCCACTGGTGAGCTCAGGTATTAGTGCCCCCTCCCCCACAGGGGAGGACATGTGGTTCAAAGAGGCCAAAGAAGCACATACCTGGGATGTTCACTTAAGTTTCCTGCCCCCGAGTCCTGTGTTCTTTTCACCAAACCACACTGTCTCTGGCTCCAGGATGCTCATCCTACTTAGTATAAGTCCTTGTCACCCCACACCCTGTCCCCCACACTACTGCAGGAAATTCCTAACTGTTATCCCTGGCTGGCAGCCAAGGTTCCTAAATGACCCCTCTCTAGATTTCCCTTTGAGAAGGCAGGGCCCCTACCTTCCAGAGCCCCCCCAGATCAGCTCCTCACCTGTTTGCCTGGATGCTCCTTCCTAAGAGGACCATGCTTATCACCACCACCACGGCGGCCAGGGCAAGCATGGAATAATTCCAAGGAGATGCTGGGGAGAGACACACAGGACAGAGCCTTGAGGAGAGGCCAGGTGCCTCTTAGGCCCCTAATAATTGGGGCTTGGGCTCAGACCCAGCTCACAGCCTGTGGAGACCCTAATCAAAGATAAAGCCCCTTGCCTCAGGGGACAAACAATCTAGCAGGTGGACATGGGGAAGACATGCTCTCGCTCTGGAGAAGCCCTAAGCTAATGGTGGAGATAGGACTACAGGTAAATAAGAGTGGGGGAAAGCGGGTGACGGTGGGGGGGGTAGGGTGGGCCAAGGTAAACTTCACCAGCTTCAGTTTTGCCAGGGGCTGGCCCTGTGTGGTGCGAGGAAAGGCAGGAAGGAAGAAAGAAAGGGAAGGAGGAAGGCAGGGAGGGAGAGGAAAGAGTGGCAGTTAAACTGGATTTACAACTGCCCACAGATGACACATAACACATAAAGTAGCTGATCTGCATTTGGATACTCACCATTTGTCCACACTACTGAAATGACGCAGGCTCCAGCCTTTAGGTTTTTGTATTTGCTGTTCCCTCCACTAGGAATGTTCTTCTCCTACATAATCTGCATGACTAATTCCTTCATTTCCCAAAAGTCACCTTCCTGATTATTAAAATGTCACCTTCTGGCCGGGCACAGTGGCTCACACCTGTAATCCTAGCACTCTGGGAGGCCGAGGCGGGAGGATTGCTTCAGGGGTCAGGAGTTTGAAACCACCCTGAGCAAGAGCGAGACCCCCGTCTCTACTAAAACTAGAAAGAAATTAATTGGCCAACTAATATATATAGAAAAAATTAGCCGGACATGGTGGCACATGCCTGTAGTCCCAGCTACTCGGGAGGCTGAGGCAGGAGGATTGCTTGAGCCCAGGAGATTGAGGTTGCTGTGAGCTAGGCTGATGCCATGGCACTCACTCTAGCCTGGGCAACAAAGCGAGACTCTGTCTCAAAAAAAAAAAATGTCATCTTCTTAGGGAGGCCTCCCTTGACCACCTTCCCTACCCTTGCTGCACACTTCCTAGTCTCTTTTCTCTGTTCAATTTTTCCTCTTATGTCTTATCAACACACTATGCATATAGTTGTTTAGCTTTATTTTCTATCTCCTGCACTAGAATGCATGCTCCACAAGGGGAGAGAGGTTTGTGTTTTATTTACCACTGTCACTCCAGTGCTGAGAACAGTGCCCAGCACATAGTTGTGATGATTGCGTCAATGAGTGACCATGCCCTGAGAGGAGGGTGAGGTTCTGCCAGACCCCTCTGGATGCTGAGATGCCCAACCTCAATTCCTGTGTTGGAGGAAGGTGCCGCGGGAGCGGAGGAGATGACAGTGTCAGGGGGCTTCAGCTAAACTCTGCTGTGTTGAGAAGCAGTCCCATCCTCACCATCAATCTCCCACCACTTACCATCTTCTACACGAAAAAACCAAAGCATCTCTTCCATCAGCTCCTGAGGCACCACGGTGCCGGCTGGGGCTCCAGTCACCCCCTCGCTGTGCGCCATGCCCCTGCTCCCGTTTGGCAGTGCTTCTGGACACCACGTCGTCCTCAGGGCCCTCGGCTCCAGCGGCCCTCCTGGCCTCCTAGCGGACAGTCCCTGCAGGCCGATGGAAACAATGCGGAGAGCATGACCAGATAGCCCAGCCCAGTTTGACCTCCCCTAGGTGCCCAACCCCAGGTGTCCTCTGGCCCGTGGGACCAAAATAGCCCGAATCCAGGAGCAGGGGGGGCGCAGAGGGGCAGAGACTACAGGAGTGACTCAAATCTTTATTGAAATCCATCACGTGTTGGGGAGCACTGATCTGGGAGTGAGGAGGACTGAGCCACTGGAGGAATATGGGACCCTTGCTGAAGACATCTCAGGTTTTCACATGCACAGTATGCCCAACCCCCCATACCTCCCACAGCACACCCCTGTGTTTCCTTAGCAACAACTTGTCCCACCCAACGCCTTTGAGGCTCATGCAGTAGCCAATCAGAGGCCTCTGTCTCTCCACGTGTCAAAGGCTGGGCCTATCACGTCTCTTTCCTGGGATTCGCACGCCTGCTACCCTGAGCCGAGAGAAGAGGGAAGCGCGCAGAAAGGCAGCAGCGGGCTCCTACTGGGGAGAGCCGCCGCTTCCCTAGTCCTGGCTGGTCAGTGCTGCCCTCTGTTCCGCAATCCCCTGAGAACTCTTTTTGGACAAGTTATCAGAGTTGGTTTCTGTTGTTTGCAAAAGAAGAAGGAGAACCGATGCTGCCTGGCTAAATCCTTTCCTTAACTTTAATCTGTTTCTGCCCCTACAAATAAACCAAACCTCAGTCAGTGTCAAAACAGTCACAAATTGTGACATACTCTTGTACTACCGGTACTATTACTGCTTAATACAAAATGTTATTGTATCCATATTTAAAAAAAAAAAAGGTGAAATTGATTTTGACAACATATTTTAAGCCAATATATCCAAAATATTATCATGTCAACATGTACTCAATATAAAAATTATTGACGTATTTCACAGTTTTTATATCAAATCTTTGACAGTGAGTGTAAATATTACAGGTATTGTATATCTCAATTCCAACTAGCCACATTTCAAGCGCTCAGTGGCCCTGGGTCCTGTGGCTGTTATACTGGACAGCCCAGGTCTCTGCCTCAGCCCAGGGCCAAGGTTTGGCAGCAGGTGCCCCTGACTGCTTTGGGCTGTTGGTATGAGGGCGGCAGGCATGAGAGTGGGCCCTGGGCTGAGAGCCAGGGAGCTGGTTCTGCCTCTGGTTAACTGTGTTTAGGCAAATTTTTCCCTTCTGGATCACTGGGTCCTCTGACCAACACAAGAGGAAACAATAAAGACAGACAGAAATCAATGAAGTAGAGGGGAAAAGTGGAGAAGATGAATAAAACCAAAAGCCATTTAAAAAATATTAATAAAATGAATCTCTGAAAAGATTGACCCAAAGAAAGATGCAAAGGAATGAGTTATAGAAACAAAATGACACCAGATATTTTAGAAATAATACAAGTGAATTTTGAGCTATATGCTAATGAACTTGACAACCTAGACAAAATGGATAGAGTCCCAGAAAAACATAAAATACCAAAATTATACAAGGAAGAAATACGAAACTTGGAGACTAATAAATAATAAAGAAATGATGGTCCAAGGCTTCCTGTCCAAAAATAAAGTCCAAATCTGGATGACTTCAATTGTGAGTTCTAATAAACTTTCAATAAGTAGTTAATTCTTACTTTAAACAAGTTATCCCCCAAGATAGATAAAGAACACAAACTGCACTGCAGATTTAACATTGGTTTCAAAACTAGATGAGGACAAAACAAGAAAAGAAAACGATAGGCCCAGTCACTTATGCAAGTAGGTGCAAATATCCTAAAAAAAAAAAAAAAAAGATTAGCTAACTACATTCAACAATGTATTAAGAAAATAATACTTCGTTATAAAGTAAGTTTGATGCCAGGAATGAAAGGATACTTTGACATTAGAAACTATATCAATATAATTCACCACATTACTAGGCTAAAGGAGAAAAATCACATGATTGACATGTATGATTAAAAACTCTGGGGCTGGGCACGGTGGCTCACACCTGTAATCCTAGCATTCTGGGAGGCCGAGACGGGAGGATTGCTTGAGGTCAGGAGTTTGAAACCAGCCTGAGCAAGAGCAAGACCCTGTCTCTACTATAAATAGAAAGAAACTAATTGGCCAACTAATATATATAGAAAAAATTAGCCAGGCCTGGTGGCGCATGCCTGTAGTCCCAGCTACTCGGGAGGCTGAGGCAGGAGGATTGCTTGAGCCCAGGAGTTTGAGGTTGCTGTGAGCTAGGCTGATGCCACGACACTCTAGCCAAGGCAACAGAGTGAGACTCTGTCTCAAAAATAAGAAAAAATTAAAACTCAGTAAACTGGGAGTAGAAGGAAATTGCTAACACATGGTAAAGGCAACATATAAAAATCCTATAAACTGGACAGATGTGTTAAAAATCAAATAAAATTTTTAAAAGAAAAAATATATAAAAAAAGATAAAGTAGAAAATTAAATTTTGTTAAAAAAAAAAATCCTACAAGCTGGCCATGGAGGTTCATGCCAGTAATCCCAACATTTTGGGAGACCGAGGTGGGAGAATTGTTTGAGGCCAGGGGTTTGAGACCTGCTTAGGCAACATGGCAAGACCGTCTCTACAGAAAATTTTAAAAATTAGCCAGGCATGGTGGTACATGCCAGTAGTCTCAGCTACTTGGGGTGCTGAGGCAGGAGAATTGCTTAAGCTCAGGAGTTTGAGGTTGCTGTGAGCTATGATGATGCCACTTCACTGTAGCCTGGGAAATAGAACGAGACCCTGTCACAAATAAATAAATAAATAGCTGTTAGGTTTGTTCCAGGTGGGAACCAGAAAAGTACGTATAGGACAGAATGTGGTTAATGCAAAACTTAGGCTTATAAAAAAAATAGCCACAGGAGAGTCTTGGACTTTGTAGATCTAATAGACAGCTGCAGCCAGCATTACTTCCCCCTCCCTCCCAGATAGAACTAAGTTTATCCCTCCCTAGCTCTCCTGATAAGAACGAGGCCAAAAGGATGGATGTGACTGGGGCAAAGGTGTCGTAGGAGTTGGTTGTTTGAAGAAGAATTTATTACAAATAGCTGTTCTGCCCACCATCCTCTGCCATACACAAACTGCACCTAGCAGGAAGCAATTCTTCACCTGCCTGACCACAACAACGATACAGATCAGGAGTCTGGCCCAGAAACAAAGAACTGAACAGGGCAGGTGAGAGGGGGTCGGCTATCCCCATAAAAACCCTCACAAAACCCCCTTCTATGCTGACTCTCTTTTCAGACTCAGCCCACTTGCATCAGGGTGAATAAACCAGCTCTGTTGCTCCCACATAGCCTGTGTGTGTAATCTGTCCTTTGGGTCATTCACCCTTTCAATAGCCAGGTGTGGTGGCACGTGCTTGTAGCCCTCGCTACTCGGGAGGCTGAGCCAGGAGAATCCTTGAGTCCAGGAGTTCATTACAATGATCTATGAATGGGCCACTGCTGGCCTGGGTGACACAGGGAAACTCTGTCTCAAAAAAAAGAAGAAAAAAAAAAGAAAGGGGCCGGGCACGGTGGCTCACACCTGTAATCCTAGCACTCTGGGAGGCCGAGACAGGCAGATTGCTCGAGGTCTGGAGTTCAAAACCAGCATGAGCAAGTGCAAGACCCCGTCTCTACTATAAATAGAAAGAAATTAATTGGCCAACTAATATATATAGAAAAAATTAGCTGGGCATGGTAGCACATGCCTGTAGTCCCAGCTACTTAGGAGGCTGAGGCAGAAGGATTGCTTGAGCCCAGGAGTTTGAGGTTGCTGTGAGCTAGACTGACACCATGGCACTCACTCTAGCCTGGGCAACAAAGTGAGACTCTGTCTCAAAAAAAAAAAAAAAAAAAATCCAATAAAGGAGGGAAAGGAGGAGTTGTTTAGTAGATGGCATAGGGAAAACTGGCTCACCGTATGGAGAAAAGAAAGAGTGGATGCATGGCTAAGAAACAGCACGTACAAAAACAGACTCCAGATTGATTAAAGGCTTAAATGTAAGAAGAAAAATATACAGTCAATAGATGTAGGGTAGGACTTCTTAAAACCATAAAAGTTCATTCAATAATAGCAAAAATTTATGAATTTGAATACATTAAAACTAAGGATATCTGTTCATGAATAAAGTAATAACACATTTCTGATTGAGATAAGATGTTTGCAATGCTTAAAACCAAGACAAGAATATATCTAGAATATACAAAGAATTCTTGCAAAACAACAAGAAAAAGACAGGAACCTCAGTAGATAAATGTACAGAGGATATAAATGGGCAGTTTACAAAGTAGGAGACCCAAACAGCTAGCAAGCATATGAAGAAATGCTCAAACTCCTTGGTAATCAGAAAAATGAAAAGGAAAAGGAAAATGAGATACCCCTTGACATCTATTAGCTGGCAGCTGGTGGGGCTCTGGGGCTCTAGCCTTGTGCACTGATGGCATGTGCACTAGGACAGCCATCAGGACAGCAAATTACTCCAATTAAGTGTACACACCCCATGAGCCAGCAGTCCTGCTCTTGAGTGTACCCTAAAGAAATCATCCTCAGGGATCATAGTGGAGGCATACCATACTATTTATGAAAATTCAAAATATATGCACACGAAACAAAACATTTTACAAGAACTCATTTTTTTCAAAGGGCATACATTAAACACATTATGATAGTTGTCTCTTGGGAAGGAGGAAGAGGGGAATTGGACTGGAGATAAAAGTAACTAAAGAAATCACAACAGGAGAAGGGCTTTGAACAGATCAATCATAAAAATTCACCTTGGCACTAATAAGGAAAACAAAAGGTAAAGAGAGAACAAGGAGTTCTCAAGTCCCCTCTCTTCTGACACTGCCATAGGAGCTCACCAACCTCAGCCCAAAATAGCCTTTGGATGCTCAGCCAGGAGAATTCAAAAACAACTGGATCCACACCTGTAATCCCAGCACTTTGGGAGGCTGAGGTGGGAGGATCGCTTGAGGTCAGTAGTTCTAGACCAGCCTGGGCAACATAATGAGACCCCATCTCCGCAAAAAAATTTAAAAATTAGCTGGGTATGGTGGTGCGCACCTGTAGTCCCAGCTACTCAGGAGGCAAAAGACTCGCTTGAGCCCTGGAATTTGATCCAGGCTGCGGTGAGCTTTGATTGTGCCACTGCACTTCAGCCTGGGCCACAGAGTGAGACCCAGTTTCAAAAACAAAACAAAACAAAAGTTGGATAGCAAATCACCAAACAGAAAACCAGAGTATTAGCAAAAGGACTAGATTGGCATCAGAGTTTTCTCCAGCACTAAATGCTCTGAAAAAAACTAAAGAAACAGCTACAGATTTTAAGGGAAAATATTTTGACATGGATACAATACTGACTTAAGCTTTTCATATGTGAATGATCGTCCATGTGTCAAGCTGGAGATGGAAGTCAGGGAGAAAGAAAGACCTTTTTTAGACTTTTACGGACTCAGATATACACTACCTGCTTACTCATTTGAGGGAGCTATCAATCTATCTATTGATCTATCTACAAAATAATGAAAAGGCAAAGTCTCAGGAATGACTAACGGATGTGATCTTGTGTTCTAGTTCCATCTGACTCTCCAGGGCACAGTGCCAACAAGGAGGACTGTGACGTTCTGTCCATCTCAGACGTAAGAGGCCCCTCTTCCACAGGCAGACTCCCCTCTGCCCAAAGAGGACAGAGTGTGGCGGTCAAGATACCTGCCTCTGGGGAGTGGGATGGGTGTTCACCTTGAACACTTCTGTATTGCACAGTTTCCTGTGAGTACACACTGCCTTCATGAAAATGATACGTGTGATTAATGGAACTATTCAGACAAGTATACAAAGATGCAC